TTTTAGGACTTTGTGGACTAGTTAACCCATGCATGAACGTAAAGTTTGTAACTTTACGTGCTATATCGATCCTAGGAGGTCAGATCTATGTTCTGGATGCATTAAGTCCGACTGAAATCGACTGGATAGACTTGGACTTTGGGGGACTCGACGAGTTGTTCATAGAACTCGGCGATTCGGGTCATGGTTCCCCAACCTTTTCTGTTTCTAAGCAATCTGGTTGAGTCTAAAAGAGGACTCAACAAGATAGGGCGTGAATATGGGCTTGAAGATCAAGAACTCGACGAGTCCAGGATGAACTCGGTGAGTTCAAGACTATGTCCCAACTGATATAAAGCAGGACTCGACGAGTTCAAGGATGAACTCGGCGAGTCCATGAGAAAATGTTTCGATCCGTATGAAGGAGAACTCGACGAGTCTATGGAAGGACTCGACGAGTTCAAGTGGAAAGTCCCGACTCTGTCATAAGGAGAAACTCGGCGAGTTAGAGTGTAACTCGACGAGTCCGATCGAGAATTCGAGTTTCTCTGAATTATGGAACTCGACGAGTTGATGGATCAACTCGGCGAGTTGAGTCAACCAGGATGTTGAATTTGACCAGGGCGTTGACTTTGACTTTGACTTTGACTTTGACCTGAGTTGACCCTTGAAAGGGTTATGAGTAGGAAATGGTAATTAAGGAAGGTTTTTATGTATAGGAGTTTGAGTGCAGTTGATTCCAGCGCTGAGGACAGTCAGTTACTGCACGACATCGAGGTGAGTTACCTTCCAGTAGGAGTGGGTCTACGGCCACAATGTCGGCCCACTGGTAGGAGTTATTGGTTAGATGATTGTCTTTGTGATAGTTATCTAGGTTTGCTACTACCTAATATGTTTTATGTTCTAGCATGATATGATGTTATGTGATAGTGGTAGTAGGGGGAATAGTCCCCGTGTCACGGTCGTAAGGACCGAAGGGTAGGTCGGGCACCCCAGAATTGTCTGGCAGTATGTTTATGCTATGTTATTATATGGTAGTAGTAGTAGGGGTGAAATAGTCCCCGTAACCGGTTCAGATAAATCGGAGGGTAGGTCGAGCACCCCAGAATTGCTTGACATGGGTAGATCAGGCACCCCCTAATTGCCTGGCAGGGAGGTCGAGCACCCCAGAATGGCTTGACATGGGTAGGTCAGGCACCCCAGAATTGCCTGGCAGTATGTTTGTTATATGGTATGTGGTATGATGGGGGAACTCACTAAGCTTTGTGCTTACAGTTTTCAGTTTTGTTTTCAGGTACCTCTTCTTCGAAGGGGAAGGAGCCGGCACGGTAGTAGCGCATCACACACAGAGGATTTCCGCATTATGAGATTCTTGTGATTGTACTCTTACATTGTTACTATTTTATGATATGATTTTGAGACACGTGATTATGGTTTTATGAAATGATATGACTCGATGATGTTTTTCGGTAAATTGTTTTATAAGTTACTTAATTAAAAACAAAATTTTTGGTCTTGAAAATGGGGATGTTACATGTGTGCTTTTATGTGTGTGATTGTCATTTTTGGATGCTGGACATTTTTTGCCGAAAAACATAACCACCACCACGAGGTGATGGCCGCCGCCGTGAGCCGCCGTTGACCACCACTACCTGAGGTGGTAGTGGATGGTGCCCAACTTGTTTAACGCTAAAGGACCCAATGAATACCTAATTAACCTAAAAACCTAATTTGGATTAATTGGCTTGTAATTTGGTTGAAAACCCTAATTAGGGTTTGGAAAACCCTAATTTTGGAAATGTGTATTTTGGATTTGTCGGGACTCGCATTTGGACCATTGGATTTGGAATTTTGAATTACGCCCGACCACATTGTATGTTGGACTAGTGGAGTGGTGGACTTAATGGATTAAGTCCTTATTGGATTCAGTCCTTAATGGGTTAAGTAGGAACATTTAACCTTAATCGTCATTTTATGTGAAAAACCCTAATTGGGTTTGGGTTCTTATTGGGCCACTTCTTGGACTGACTTGCTGTGGGCCTTCGTGCGCCAAATGGGGAACATGATTATGGACTAAGGGAATTATTGGGGCTTAGGATAAGGCCCATTGGAAAGGCTTGGGCCCAATTTGGAAAATTGGGTCATATGATGGGCCTTATTGATCATTGGTTTTTGGGCCTTTAGACTTTGAGTTTGGGCCTGGGTATTAGACCAAACTAGGTTAGGGGTAAAATAGTCTCCTTACCCCAAGTATGTAGTTGTGGTTATGCATTGGAACCCAATTATTAATTGGGTGTCATTTTGATGTTGGCAGTTCGGGAATCTGTCAACCAGCAATTGGAAATTTATCTGCGGGACTTCAGTAGTGCCAGGTGAGTCTCTTCACCATACCGATGGGTCTAAGGCACCAAGGTCGGTCCATTTATTTAGTTGAGATGATTATTGTGAATGTACTATTGATACATTATGTATTTATGTGAGACCATGCGGGGGTTCCCATGGAAATTAGTTATATGTGGTATGCTAGTTGATTGTGTGGTATTTGGTATGCTAGTTGTCTTTGTGATACTTGCATGGAAGACCCCAGGGGGTTCCCGAGGCAGTTGGATATAAGTCAATGTGGGGGTTCCCATGGCATTCCAGGCTAAGACAATGTGGGGGTTCCCATGGAAGTTATCTAAGACCATGTGGGGGTTCCCATGGCATCCGGTGTAAGACCATGTAGGGTTTCCATGGCACCTTTATATGTTTGTATGTATGGCTTATAGGGTTTGTATATGTATACTATTAACTGATTATGTGTTATGTCGATATGATATTTGTATGGAAGACCCCGAGGGGTTCCCGTGGCAGTGGATTGAGACCATATGGGGGTTCCCATGGCAGTTAAGACCATGTGGGGGTTCCCATGGCAGTGGGCTAAGACCACGTGGGGGTTCTAGTGACACCCGATATAAGACCTTGGGGGGTTTCCATGGCATCCCATATGTTTGTATACATGGCTTATGTGATATGTGTAACTTATAGAGCTAATATGGATTATGTGATTATGTGGATTGAGTGGGATATGCTCTGGGGAACTCACTAAGCTTCGTGCTTACAGTTTTGTTTATGGTTTCAGGTATCATCGGTTTGGAAAGGAAGGGCCCAGCTTGATCGCAGCGCACACACCCGTGTTTTCCGCAATATGTGGTTTTTGGGACGAACTCTTATAAATGTTTCAGTTAGCAATATTTTTGGAATACTTTGTACATTGTTTTAATTAAACAATGTTTTGGAAAGCTTGAATTTAAAAGATATACGTGTTTTAACTGTATTAAAAATAAAATTTTTACCCTTGATTTTTGGGTCGTTACAGCGAGGATGAAGTATGCCCTAGATCGAGAAGAGACAAATAGGTGATGGAGAATGGAATAAAAAAGATATAGATAGAGTGGAACAAGAAGGAATGAGATGATCCAGGAACAGGTTGAAATAGAGTATGAACAGAGCATGAGACGAGTGTGAGAAGATATGAGAATGGCAGGAGTACAGATAAAGAAAGAGTAACGAAAGAAATAACAGAGTAGTAGAGTATGAGTACATGAAAACAGACAAAAGTATAACTCACCAGGCCTATGATCTGACGTTGTAGATTTTTTCATGATTTTGCAGGTTCAGGTGATAGTCGTTGTACGGGAGGAAGTATGAGCAAAAGAACTTATACTAGAAGTAGTTTTACTTTTGATAATTCCTTGTTGCTTAGATTTTAATTATGTTTTATTGTAAATCCGATTATACCCTGGAATGTAAGTGTTTTGAGTTTAGAATTTCATAAATTTTTAGAGATAACTCTGATAACCACTAGAATGTTTAGAAAGGAAATTTTGGACCGTTACAAAAAATATAGGGTGTTTTATAGAATAAACACAATTTATATATTGGTAATTGGTTCTACAGCTAAAATAACAATGAATTGGTAAAAGTTTGGTCTTTTAAAAAAAATAGGTTTAAAACGAAAAAAAAATCAAAATATAGAATCTTTTATAAAATAAACTATAAAAATAAAAATTGACCTACACACTCAACCAACCGAACAACCCCCTCCCTCCCTCACCCTCTTTCTCTCTCAATGATGCTTAAACACTAGAAAGTTTTGGAGATAGAAACCCTTAAAAAATAGAAATTGAGGTAATTGGTTATATTAATGGTCAAATCAAGTGGGATTTTGGATATTGGTTAATTTGTCGTCGCTTCAATCTAAAGCTACTGTGAATATACAACCCGAAAGTGGGTTTCATCATTGGAGAGGGGGACAACAAAGTTGCTTCTGATGAAAGTGGGAAGGTGGTGATAGGAACGACGGTGGTGCTTCACCACTTCTTTAGATCTAGGGTTTAACTACACAAAAATTATAAGTTCAATACAAATTTTAAAATTGCAAATTCATAAAACAAATTTGGTTTCCGTGTTTTTACATAAAACTGTCTCAACTTCGGTACAAAATTTGGATCTGTGTTTTACACAAAATTGTATAAAGTTCGGTACAAATTTTAAATTTGTTCCCTATATGTTGTACTCAAAATTGCGAGTTTATTTCAAATTTTAAATCTTTAATACGACAAAGACAATATCTGCAACAAAATACAAACATAAAAATTGGATTGAAACTTTGGTAAAGTGTAGGGACCAAAATTGTAAAGTACTCAAAAAACAATGTAACGTTTAAACTATAATATTTGAATCAAAGAAAAGCTGATTATATAGTTTATATTCTAATTAATATAGATGATAAGGATTTAAAGTTAGCTTACTGTTGCGTGTTATCCTAAATTTAAATATGAAAGATATAAAGACCGGCTGTGAAATCTTGTCCATTAGTTTACGCATTAATGCATGTCATCGCCGAGCTTCTCTTGGGAACGCCTGTTGGTTGGGTCGAATCACTTTTAATGATTTTCTATGTCGGTAGTGGGGTTCTCCGATTAGATCGTTTGTTTGTTTGTGATATTTTAAAATATAAACACACATGCTATTTCCATCACAAATTCCCAATCTTTCACCTTCAAAAAGCAAAGCACACCAATTCTGGTTGTTGTTTTCAACTACAATATATCGCTCCTAGGGTCAAGTTTTTATTTGCAATCGATAAATTGAATTAGAAGAAGATCTTGTCAGCAGCAATCCAATGGAGGCAGCTGACTACATAAGAAGACATCACAGGCATACTACCGACCATAAACAGTGCGCTTCAGCCGTAGTCAAACACATCAAAGCTCCCGTCGATATCGTAATTCTCTAGACTAAACTAGATGCATTTTTGTGTGTTCTGTCAGAGGATTATTGAATGGGTATAAATATATGCTACATCGATCTGTAAGTTCAAAAAAATTGCTGATTTATGCAGTTTTGGGAGGCTCGGGTTCTGATATAATTCCTGATAGTATGCATCGATCGTTTCTCTGTGTTGAGGAGAATATCTTATATACATATAAATAAACCAACATCTTTAAGAATTGAATAAAGTGGAGTGAGGTGGATGGTGTGTGTGTTTATTGCTGTGCTTATTTATACACGATTTCTTCTGTAGGTTGTCTTGTCGTATATTTGGTAGTAAAATGCAGAGATGTTGGATCGATGTTTCTGGATTTGTGTTTTAGTTCATACGATCAATTGGTTTTGTATCCGGGCCTTAATCTAGTTTAGATAAACGAATAGAGGATTCAGTTTTTGGAGAAAATGCATGCATAACGTACATACCGAATTACATTTGTTTGTTTGGTTTATTTGATTTGATGATGGTATAATTAGTAGTATTAACTGAAAATCGTATAATTTGTCAGGTTTGGTCATTAGTACGGAGGTTTGACGAACCTGAAAAGTACAAGCCTTTCGTGAGCAGGTGCAGGATGTGTGCAGCAGGGGCAGGGGATGGGGATGCTGTGAGTATAGGAAGTGTTAGAGAGGTGAAGGTGAAATCAGGTCTTCCGGCGACTACCAGCACAGAAAGGTTGGAACTTCTGGATGACAAAGAACACATCCTCGGAATCAAAATTGTTGGTGGAGACCATAGGCTAAAGGTATAATATTTAGTTTTACTTAATTTATCACAAGTTGCAGTGTTAATTTAACACAGTCTAACTGTACGCTATATACATACATATATGTTACTACTATTCTTTATAAACTATGACAGAACTATTCTTCAATCCTAACTGTCCATCCAGAGCCGGAGGTACTGGAAGGAAGATCATCTGCAGGGAGTGGGACACTTGTGATAGAGTCATTCGTGGTGGACATACCCGATGGCAACACCAAGGACGAAACATGCTACTTTGTCCAAGCCCTAATCAACTGCAACCTTAAATCGCTTTCTGATGTCTCACAAAGGATGGCCATGCAATCACCTCAACTCACTTAATCTTCTTTACTTTCAATATATATATATATATATATATATATATATATATATATATATATATATATATATATATATATATATATATGTTGAAAACACCTTATCATGCTTGCATTAATTCAACTTATTGCTAGTTGTGGTTTGCTTTCAAGTCATTGTAGCAGCAGAAGCAGCTCGCTCATTGTTTGCAGGATTGTTCAGGTAGCTCTTTCCTGCCAACATTTGGTAGCGGCCCTTTAGTTTATATTATGGTGTTAATAAACAATATGTGGATTGGGTTTGTTTCCCATTATCCTTTTGGGTTGTATTGCATTGTTACATATTGAATTCAGCAGTTGTATAGCAACTCATCATCCGTCTCGATCCACATACCAATCACATAAATAAACTAACAAATGATGATTCAATGCAAACTAAACATTCATATATACTAAATTGTGAAAGGAACGGATAAAACACGCAATCTAAAAGCATACGGATTCCTTGAGACTATTAGGCCCAAAACCATTTAGACATTTAATATAATTTGAATATTTGATTACAACAAAACATTTTTTTTTGGAAAGGGAACTTCCCTAACGAGGGTTTCCGGGCCAGTTTTCGCACACCGACTAATCCCCGCTGCAAACATGAAGCTTTGCTCCATGCCCTGGAGTCACTGCAGGCGAACCTCCATGGCCACAAGGGACAACAAAACATTTTGTGCATGTAGCTCGTGTAAATTGAGTTGTCATCAAGTTATTATTTAGAGAGGTCAAATATAACATTCATGTCATATTTTTAGCTAGACACAATGTTTTTTATACAACACAAGAATGTCGCGGCATCGATATCATTATTTGTTTACTAACACGAAAACGACCAAATTAAAACACGATAGATGCAACTAATACACACAAAAAAAAGATAAAATAAATTAATAACCATTAGCTTATTTAGTTCACAGTACTTTCATTTTATTATTTAATATAGCATCTTACTTACCTTTAATCTTCTTTAACAGTAGTTCTCATTCGAGACTTATTTTTAATTATTCTCCCCAAGGACCAAGGATGGCCTAACATCTGTTTGTAATCAATATTCAAACACTTTAATAGGATTATATATATTAAATAAACTGTTATGTTTGTTTTTGAACATTAAAGTTGTTTATAAATATATTCATACTATTTTAAATGATGTATTGTATTTATATTTGAGAGACTATAAATTTCCACTTCTTTTAGGTGCGTGGTGGAGTGCATTTACCATAATTGGAAGGCATGATACAAGTGGTCCAGTACCATTCACAATTTCACAATTCACATGCATTATGCATATGATATAAAGTGGGTGGGTCCATTATTTATTTTGGAAAATTCTGCTGGACAAAACATAAAGAACAGAAACAACATGGTCATAGTCAGTCACAGAACCATAGAGGAGAATAATAGAATACCGACTTCATATGGTCCTACAAGCCTAGCCCACGTCTGGATCCGCCATAATATAGACTTGAACTCTCAACCTTAAGGAGAGAGGATAATACGGATACCGTTGGGCTGAAAGCCCTCTGGTGGTACGAATTTTATCTTAAATAACAAAATAGGTTTTGCCATGAACCGGTTCCCGATATGATACAAAACCGCTTTTAAAATCCAGTCCAAAATCCTATTTTTCACTCCGTTGTCGCATTTCTAACACAACTCACAAGCCCTCTCTGGTCTCATATTTTTATAGAACATTAAGTTCCGTAAAAAAAAATAAAAAAAAAAATAAAAAAAAAAAACTTTTGTATTTGACAATCAAACAGATAAATTAACTATTTTATTGGAGTACGTCTAGAAAAATTAAAAATCGGTTAAAAAATATGCTCAGGTCCTTTGGCTAGTTTTTGTTCATATCAATTCAGAATAAGGATAATGACTTAAAAATGTAATATACTTTTCGACTTATACACATTTGGTCATTGAGTTTTTTTCGTCTATATTTACCCTTTCAATTTGTTTAATTGTACACATTTAGTCCTTATGATCGGACATTCCAGGTAAACCGGAAAAAATGACTTAATATGGTAATATATTTCTCACTTTGTACACATTTAATCATTCATATTTTTTTTGCACAATTAGTCCTTAATATTTTTTTTGTTGCAAAAATAACTCCTTGTTATTTTTGTAAACATTCACTACTCATGAACGGTTTCTTTAAGTTTTTTCTCACGACATCCTACATAGGACAATCATTAATGAGGTGTTCGAGGTTGTTCATATTTATGGTCATTGCAGCCTCGATTGTTTAGTGTTTAGGTCTGGTGTTCTGAACGTTTTAACTTCTTCATACGATTCCTGAATTTAACGTTCATTATATCTATGCGTTCGTATTTGAGTCTACTACAATTTTTGTTTAGATTACTCCCGTTAAAAAATAATATATTTTTACTTACGATTTTATAAAAAACCATTCATACATACATTCATAAAGAACGCATGTATATAAAAATCGTAAGTAAAAAGTACTTTTTAACGGGAGTAATCTAAATGAAAATTGTAGTAGACTTAAATACAAACATGTGAATATAAAGATCGTTAAAATTTGAGATCGTATGAAGAAGTTACGACGTTCAGAACACAAGACCTAAGCAACCAAGCAGCTTAGATTACTCACATTAAAAAGTAATATATTTTTACTTACAACTTTATAAAAAAACGTTCATACATATATTCTTAAAGAACGCATGTATATAAAGATAGTAAGTAAAAATGTATTACTTTTTAACGGGAGTAATCTATACGAAAGTTGTAGTAGACTCAAATACGAACACGTGGATATAAAGATCGTTAAAATTTGGGATCGTATGAAGAAGTTACGTCGTTCAGAATACAAGATCTAAACAACCAAGCAGTTGATGAGGTCGCGGTGGCCATAAGCATCAATAGTCCCGAACACCTCATTAATGATTGTCCCACCTAGGAAGTAGTGAGAAAAACTTAAAGAACTCGATCATAAGTACTGAGTGTGTATAAAAAAAACAAAGACTTATTTTGCAACAAAAAATATATTAAGGACTAAATATGTACAAAGTGAGAAATATATTACCCTATAAAAATCATTTTATCCGGTTTACCGAGAATAGCCGGTCATAACGACTGAATGTGTACATTTATATAAGTTGAAGGAGCAAATATGGACGAAAAAACCTCAGTGACCAAATGTATACAAATCGAAAAATATATTACCCATTTAAGTCATTATCCCTTCAGAATATAACCAAAGTCTAATAGTTTCGGGGTTAACCACTAAACCGACAAAGAAAAAATGATATATATACAGGGCCGGCCCCAAGATTTTAGAGGCCCTGTGCAATTTAGTTAAAAAAGGCCTTAAATCTTGAAAATTCTAAAAAAATTAAACAATGAAAATTCTAATCTACCATTTAAACTCGTAGTATATATAAAAGACAAAATTTCATTTCAGATGGTACATTGGTACAAAAAAAAATAAACTCCTTTCTACTTATAAATTGTTATTATTCAAACCCAAATTTTCTATAATAAATGTATTAGCATAACACCTTATTTGCAGTTCTCTTTTCCTACTCTTAGAAAAATCAAATCAAATTCACAAAAAGTGAAATGTGGTAATCGGAATCAGAAAGATAGAAAAATAAAATTTGGGATGACTGAAATTTAAAACTCAAAAGTGATGATCTGATATAATCGAAATCTGTAGAATCTAGAACTGGTAACCTTATTCGTAGTTTACCTATTAAAAAACATATAAAACTAGATTCTCGATGACTGTCCTATTAAAACTAAAATTCTGTAAAAATCAAAATTAGAAGAGATGTTAAAATCATAATTAAATACAACATCTATCTCTTAAAAATGAAAATCAGAAAGGATGAATGATAAAAAAAAAACGTATAATACATCATATTACTTAGAAATAAAGGAATCAAAAACTCTTAGACTCTTGATAAACCAAATGCATTACTCTAAAAACCTGTTAAATCTAAATTGAAAACATACTCTAAAATGTAAGAAAATAAAAATAAAAGATATAAAGATATACTCAGTTACTTACAACTTATAAAAAAGATGTCAAGAAAGAAGAGAATAAGTTCATAACAATGTTGTTGTCTTGTGGTTTGAAAAGAAGAAGAAGTGAGATTCAAGTATGAAAACAATGAATTTCTAACATAAAGGTGGGTCATGGTTAAAGGCTGCGATTCAAGAACAAGAAGAGTGTTGAAGACTACGATTTTTTAAGAACATGAGATCCAAGATGCAGAAATTGTTGTTGTATTGTTGAAGCCTTGAAGGATGCGATATTTTAAATCCGGAGATATCCTAGGGATTATGAGATCGTTACCAAGAATTGAATCGTTTCTCACCATCAATTGTTTTATCTTCACGCGTGCGACTGAAAAGGAGGCAGCATCAAATTTGATTTTAATCATGATCCCGCTTTCAATTTTGATTCTCTTTGATTTGGAAGAAAACATGTTTTGGTTTTCGGTGAGGAGAGAAGTGCCCTAATGGATGTAATACTACATTAGGCTAAAAAATTGGGCCCCTGGTGAAGGATGGGCCCTGTTCATGGGGACATCCTGAACTTGCTTTGGGCCGGCTATATATATATATATATATATATATATATATATATATATATAGATATATATATATATATATATATATATATAAGGGTTATTTGGAAAACAAAAAAACCCTAAAAATCATAAAAAATGCATAAAAAAAATACCTATACATTACAAAACTTTTTTTTTGAATTTTTTTATCAAAAAATCGCAGCCTTTTTGACAATTTCGCTGAAAAAAAATAAAAAATCAATTTTTTTTTTTTTTTGTAAAAAAATATTTTTTTTCAAAAAATTTTCAGCGATTTTATGTTAAAAGCTGCTATTGTTTGATAAAAAAATTCAAAAAAAATTTTGTGATCTCTAAGTATTTTTTTTATGCATTTTTATGATTTTTTTAGGGTTTTTTTGGTTCCATAGAACTCAACCATATAT